GCACTTTGGATGGGTTAAATGCAGAGCACTAATTCCTAGTATGGGTCACCATACTTGGCCACATGTCACATCACATGTCACGTCACGTCATATTTGACCTCTAATACACCACTGTGTCCAACTGTCTTTGTGCGTGTGCACGGCTTCCGGTGCGTGAGGTGTGTACGCGCTCTGGCGTAGTTTACGCAAGCGCCGGAAGTGATCTCTCGCGCGTATACGTCACTCATTGTTTACACAGTGCACAGTCATTGTAGGTACGACGGCTAATCAAAATAACAGTTGTTTGTTTCCGCTGTTCGATCGCGCCGGCCACTCACGCACACACATACAGCATTGCAAACGCTGCAGCCTGTTCATTATCAGAATAAAATAGTCAACCAAACATATAGATACACTATAAAATCTAGATACACTGGTTAATTAAAACAGCTTGTAGTACAATCCGTGCCGTTCAGGCTGAGCACATATTTGCTCATGTGAAGAGAATGATTTTTCATGTGAAGAAGACCATGAATTTTTTTTTTTTTTTTTTGGAAAGAATAGTCAGAAAAATGTAGAAATAAAATATTGAGAATAAAAATAATTAAATTTCGAGAATAAAGTCATTCATCAGCATCGTCAGCTTCATCTTTGCAGACACTCACTCAGAAAAGTTTGGTAATAAGTCGCCTAAATAAAATGTTCTAGCTATTTATGCGATCCGCTTGAGCGCGGAATAGGCTATGTTGAATTACAAAAAGAAAGAAAAAAACAAGGTACCGTCACAAAGTTCTTGTTTGGCAAAATTAATATAAGCTAATCTGTATCTTAAGACAAGTTAAATTAGAACAAGTACAATAAAACAGATTTATTATATTTCTACGGCAGAGAATAGCCAAACCAAAAAGCAACAAAGAAAACACAATGTAACATTCATAAAACCGTACACTGTAAATAGGTTGCTGTAAATTTTACAGTAACTTACTGGCAGCTGGATGCCAGTAATTTACTGTAAAAAATGCAGTTTTGCATAAAACAGAAATAATATACTAACCTTTCGTCGAGTTAACGGTGCATTTCTCTTTTGTCCTTTTACAGCCACTTCCACCAAAGTCAAAAAAGAACTCCCTTGCCATTGGTCAGTTTTTCGCGGGCAAGTTCACTACTGTAAATTGATTTACAGTAGTGAGGAAATACAGTAGTGACCGTATATTTTCCCATAATCCTTTGCGGTTTACAGTAAAATACTGTATACACATTTTACAGTATCTTACTGTACATATTACAGTATAATACTGTTCAAATTACAAAAATCAGTTACAGTGTACACAATGGAATGCGCACATGTGAGTGGGTCTGGTGCCATCTAGTGGTCGCTGATGTTCTGTGGCTCAGCTGCGCGTGGATCGCGAGCTGTGTGTGTGTGGATTGCGCAAGGCTAAAAGGGCGGAAGGAAAGTCTCAATTCAAATGAATCAAATAGAATCGACTCAGAAGAGACATGACTGAATGCACGCGTGTCACCTGATCCACAAATGCACATTTTAATCGCTACATGCACAAATCATGATACTTTAATACAAACCATAACATTTGTATTCACAAATATGTCTCTATTTGAACAAAATGCTGCACATTAATGTAATTCTTAACTCTGCAGACACCGGTTGAAAAGCATTTGTTTTAGTGTAGTGACGCACATTTGCGATTTTTTCAAATCGTGTACACGTTAATGAATTGCACTGGGCCTTGTTCGTTGGTAGCTGTGTGTGTGGGGGACGTGAAATGATGTAAACTGCGAAAATTAAGTCTCAAAATCCAAATGAACCGAACAAGATCGACTCGAACTAGACATCAATTAATGCATGCGTGTCACCTGATCCACATATGCATGGATTCCTTTTTGCATGAGCAATTTATGATATATTAATGCAGAACAGAACATTTTTATTCACAAACATGTCTGTATTTGTACAAATCGCTGCACAATAATTTAATCCCGAATTCCACAGACTCAAATTGAAAGGCATTTGTTTGTGGTTAGTAAGATACATGTATAAAATGTATGCAGTACATGGATAATTGTGCGTGCATCTATTAATCATTTTGAGTCTAATATCATCCCATAGACAGGTGTCTAAAATATTTAGTAACCAGCAGACATGTGTATATAAAAACGTACAGTGTGTTACTGATTTGTATTATTCTCTCAGGAGACACCAAAGATGAGTAACCTGAGAGACTACTATGAGCGAGCGCTTCGTGAATTCGGTTCCTCAGATGAAGGTGAGTGTGATTCAGTGCTTTTAGCCTTTAAATAGGCAACTCTCTTTCATACTTTGAGTAGTATATTTCTCTGATTTTGTAAATAATTTGATGTCTTAGATCTCTGGATGGAATACATCAAGGAAAAGCTGGGAAGCCACGGAAACCCAGAGAACTGTGGGAAGCTCCACTGGAGGGCTGTTAAGACCCTGGAGGGCGAAAGTGTTGAGCATTTTACTACGAAGTACACACTTCTGCAGACTGGGCACATGTAAAACCAGTATGAATCTTCAATGTGTTTTCTGTATTGTTCATATTTGGACCACAAACTGGCTTCAGTGATTTCGCTTTGAAAAGCCCAATTTCCCGGTCCTTCTGAAGTTTTTCAAACATGCTGGTGCGTAGACATTTGCACTGTTCTGTTGTTCCAGTAATAAACATTTTATGACATTGTCTTTGTTAAAGAAATGCTTTACATTGGATTTTAAGAGATCCTCACTTAGAACAGCACACCAAATAAAACAAAAGTTCAATTCAAACGTAGTACAATAGAGAAATGCTTTAGTAGGTAGCGTAGCATCAATTCAAAGTCAAAATACTCTGACTTTTCTTTTGCATTATAAAGATAGACATTCGTTTTGCTGACAGAACAGGTGTAACATTTTTAATGGTAGTTTTTTTGCCCCAGGAGAAAACGTTTCTGAGGAAACATGGTAAAAGTAAAAATTATAACCTATAAAACACAATGGTGCATTAACCGATGAACTTTAACATGAAACCAAATTAAAAACCCATCTACATATAGTAGTAGTTAATACACTGATAACATTGTCAAGTTGACTACATCAGATACCTTTAGTGATTAAGGCCACTTTAAGTTCTCTATCAAGTTGTAAAATCAAGAATTTAATCAAGTAATTGATGCCTCTCATTAACCATAATGTTAAGAAATAAGCTGAGATGTCATAGGTTAACATAATAAATATATATATATATATATTACATTATGCGTAGTCATTGCCAAGTTGAATGTTTTGTTAAAAGTAACCAAGACACACAAGCTGACTCCACTGATGATAGCAGCAAACAGGCTGAAAAGCCTGCTGATCCAGTAGTTGTTTTGTGTTTGTTCAGCTGTCATCAAGCTTTGTGTAAAGAACCGTGGACAGGTAGCATCTCCGAATCTTTCCTCTGTGGTAGCCATCAATGACCTTAAAAGTCCATTATAAGACATGGTGGAAGACTACTTTTGATTTAGAGATACGCTTATTTTGGTTTACCAGATTACTCTGAATCACATCAACCCAGATAATACAGTAGTGAAATTTTAACAGAATTAGAAACTAATAAAGTTTAGTAAATAATCAATTAGGTAAAAGTCAGACATGTTAAAATCCCTTTAAAATGAACTGAACAAAGCTTGGCATCAACATGGTTCCAGAATTCCCTCTGATGTCACCGATGTAGTCTTGCATACAAAAAAAAAAAAAGGCTGAAATCCTGGGTCAGTGCTTCCTTAACAGAATGTAGGTGAAGAGGGCCACAAGTCCAGCAGAGAGCAGGCCAATGACACACTGGTGGATGGTTATAGCACTCTCCAGTGAGTGAATGCGTTCTTCCATGGCACTGGTGTGAATGTAGTCATAGATTGAGGCCCCGATGCTCCACACCACCCAGACTGCATCCACCAACGCCTTCATTGTGGGAGACACCATTCAGTGTGTGGCTGCCCCACAGTGTGGGATCCTCACAGCAGCCCTCACTCACCCCACCCCCACTATGGGACAGAGAATAGAGAGTAGAATTGGTACAGCATTCTGAAAGCCTGAGGAGCAAGTAGTATTGACAGAAGACAGTATAAGCTTGACCAACATGACCTTTTAAAAAAAAAAACCTGTGGTCATGGTAAAATTAAAATATGCCCTCAAACTAAAGTAGTAACACTGTCTGGGAATAATGTACATACTTATATATACAATGTCCATACATATGTGACCCTGGACCACAAAACCAGTCATAAGTCGCACGGGTATATTTGTAGCAACAGCCAAAAATACATTGTATGGGTCAAAATTATCTATTTTTCTTTTATGCCAAAAATCATTAGGATATTAAGTAAAGATCATGTTCCATGAAGATATTTTGTAAATTTCCTACTGTAGATATATCAAAACGTAATTTTTTGATTAGTAATATGCATTGCTAAGAACTTCATTTGGACAGCTTTAAAGGCGATTTTCTCAATATTTGGATTTTTTTATTTTATTTTTTTGCACCCTCCGATTCCAGATTTTCAAATAGTTGTGTCTCAGCTAAATATTGTCCTGTCCTAACAAACCATACATCAATGGAAAGCTTATTTATTCAGACTATGTAGAAATCTCAATTTCGAAAAATTGACCCTTATGACTGGTTTTGTGGTCTAAGGCCATACATCAATGGAAAGCTTATTTATTCAGACTATGTAGAAATCTCAATTTTAAAAAAAATGTATCCTTATGACTGGTTTTGTGGTCCAGGGTCACATATACATTTAATGTTCTATGCATCATCTATTGGAATATTTTTTATTGTAATATCTTGTTTGGTTCTACAACAAATTCTTCAGCATGTTAAAGGGGTAGTTCTCCAAAAATGAAATTTCTGTTATCATTTAATCACGTCAACTTTTTCTGAACTATTTTCTTTCTTCTGCAGAACATAGAAGACATAGAAAGATATAGAAGAAAGAAATGTCTCAGTATATATGTATGTATTCATTCATGTTGTTGTTGTTGTTGTTGTTATTATTATTATAGCCAATGGCACCAACCTTTTTGGTTACCAACATTCTTTAAAATATCTTCTTTTGTGCTCCACAAAAGAAAACAAGTCATACAGGTGTGGAACAATGACACATTTGCATAATTACGCAATATGTAGTTTCTATTATGGAACACAACACGCAGAATCTTCACTATCCCGTGGTGCCTACAGTAATACCTTTATTATTAAAAATGGAAAATAATCAAAACAATGCATGCGTTAGTATGAAGAATTACTCACAGGAAGCTCTAGGGCTTTCATACAAACTAAAAGAGATGTGCTGTTTTATATTAACGTATTTGCTTGTAATAAGTGATGTTTTTTGTTACTGCATTGACCGGTGTAGCAGTCGATTCTGTTCCCCTAGGAATGCCTGTTTCCCTTTACGCAACCATACTACAATTCTTACGTAGTTGCCTATTTATACATACGTACGATCAGAACTAGCGTGCGCAAGAAGCACAACTGGATGTACGGCAAGTCAAATGGTTCAAAATACCGTCTTTAATCCGAAACTTTAAAATAGTTTTAAGAAGAGAGGTTTTTCAACTTGAAATTTATTTCCTTTTTTTTTTTCCAATCAAATTTATTACCGATTTCAATGTGATGCTTAAGGCTTTGGCTATTCTGTTTTATACTGTCTTATACTTACTCATTTATGCTAATATATTTTTCTTTTTTATTATATGCCTTGCTGTTGTTGTATTTATGTGTGCACTGAAAGCTTAAACAAATCCTCATGTGTGGTGTGTGCAAAACATACATTAAAATAAATATACAATGAACCATAAATGTTGTGTACAAATCAGAACCCTATGCACACATGAACATTTTGTCAATGTGCTAGTTGCTTCAAGTCAGGTAAGTATAGTTTCTTGACAAGCATTGACTTTTTGTTAGTATCTAGTCTTGGTGTATCACTATACCTCACTTTACTATGAGAAAACTTGTCAGTGTAGAGGAGTTATCACTTAAAGTAGTTTGCTTACCATCAACTTGGAAACTGGAGGAACATCTGCAAATGAAATATTTCTGCTCCTTTTTATGACAAATGGATAAACACCTCGAGTTTTGTAATTTAGAATTTCCTCATATAGGTTTGGATCCATTGCTTTCATATGCCAACAAGAACAGTCATTCAGGTGACAACATTTTGTGGTCATCTCCCTTATTTATAACTGAGCTATTTTGAATGATTGATCAATTGATTTATCTGGTGCACTCTGAGATTGTATGCCAATTACAATTACAACATTATGTTCCACACTTGCATCTTGTATGCAAGGCGTTCTTGAGGGGAAAAAAAGGTTTGGATAAGTGTTCTGATTAAATATATTCCACTGTATCAGTGAGAAGGTAAACAGATTAATCAAATATAATATTAATTAAAATGTATTGTTGATATGGAAACAGTAATAGCCTATGCCCTGAGTTTGGACGTCAGCACGGACAGATTACACTAATTTGCATAGGCAAAATTAAACTTCAAAAACTCGGACATAAACAAAGGAACAGTTGCAAGAAGAATACAAAAATCACAGAACATTAACTGGAGTGTGAGAATCATTTTACTATGCTGCAGTGTAGCAACACATTTGTCTATTTTTGCTTTCCGTACATCCAGTTGTGTTTGGTGTATTTGCATGCTGCAGTGTTGCCAAATCCACAATATTTATTCCGCGGAATTGGGCTACTTTGGGGCAATGTTTGATTAACTATTTGGTTGGGTTTATTACACAGACCTGGCAACCCGAGGGGGAACACAACTTCCAGAGGGGAACAGAATCGACTGCTACACCGGTCAAGTCTGCCCACCTCACTGAACGAGCCCAGATACAACTCACAGCCCTCATGTTTACATGTGTAATATAAGCATGGCATGACACAACAACAGCAACAGTGCGACATTGGAGCACAATTCAAAAGCTTGTACCACTTCCGACTCAATCATCAATTTTAAAGGCCATGAGGAGCAGCTGTACAACAACTTTGCACTGATTTACAGGCCATTACTGCTCAGTTCACTAGGCCCATCATATATCTCCCTATGGCTAAAAGCGTCATCTGTGCTGATTAAAATGCACTATGTGTGGGTTAGTATCAGACAGTTTCCGAAAGAAGTAAGATAACAGCATTTAGAGAATGATGTGAGAGATGAAAACAATCATCAGCTGACATCCCTGCTCGCACAAACAGCGTGATGAACAGTGATGGAGACTCACCAGAGGATCGCCGATGTTAGCTGAATAACGAATGCAATGTGGATGGTCATTCGTACAGTTGAATATTTTGTGTAAATATACGTACGGGCCGAATGACAGAAATCCTCTACTCTCCGCCTCGAGCCCGAAGCGTGATGACGACATTATAAAGGGCGTGTCTTCCATTGAGAAGCAATTTCAATGAATTAAATCTTGTAAACAAAACGACAAATCTCTTTAAACATAATCTGGGAAAAACATAAACAACAGAGAACACGAAAAAAAAACATCTTTACAAACACAATATTGGTATTTAAATTTGCTTTTAAAATGTTTTTGTATAAATTATTTTATGTTCTTTTTATTTTACTTGTTATATAGGCCCGTAATATTTACCTATGCAACTACAGTCGTGGAAAATGTAAATTAATACCAGTGTTTACGAATGGTATATTAATGTGTAACCACAGGGGGCCGCTCCACACTGCAATGAGAGCCTTTAAAATGGGAATCCCAAATAACTGAAGAAAAAAGCATACATTTACAGTCTGTTGCCTAATGATAGGATAATTTCAGTTTTCAAAAGAGGCCTATAAAACCCAGAAATAAATGTAACACACTTTTTAAATGGTGTTACACAGACATTCAATTTAAACACTTAACAGACTTTAGAGGCGACATAAATGTAATAATAATGGATTTTTTCTAATTATATATTAAGTAAAGGCACTAAAAAATGTGTTAATATATAGTTAATTAATTTCTTTATTTTTATAAAATGCCACTAAATCAGTAAGTGTTTTAATAGCACATAAAGAACTTGATTTATTATTACAGGTTCAGTGCATTTATCATCGGTTCTACAGAGGATCTTGAAATAGCCAGGCTATGCAGTCACACAACGATCCAATTTTGGGAGGTCCCGGGCGCGGATATACACATCCTACTACGATGAATATTGGCTTATGAATATTAATTAGTTTGAGTGACGTCTACCCAGTAGGTTAAACCAGCAACCGGTTTAACTAAAGAGTAACCAAAGATTAAAAATTAATTAGGGTAGCCTACGTGAATGGACACTCATGAATGGTTACTACGCAACGTCAGCCTGGCTTCATTGATATTCATAAGCTAAGCCTTCGCCATAGTAGGCTTTTCTGATTCTGGTCCCAGACACAATTTATTCCGCATGTGGTCAAAGGAACCAGTCGGTGGCGCTTCAGCGCAACATGTACAAATATGATATGTCTACAGCAGCCAGATGGATAATTCATTAATAACGAGCGCATGGGGTCGCTCTGGCTAAAACAGCATACATGGAGAATTTCAAAAGGCTTGCGCATTAACGTGGTTAACTGTTCCACCGCGTGTTATTGACTTTTTCCCTTCGTCCACTTTTGCGCAAAGGGAGAGTGTTGTAAGCGGTCCCTGTGGATATACTGTGTCTTCATGAGGAGTTGAGCGCAAATAAGGGGGCGGGTGATGATAATGTGTGAAGAGTGGCAGTAACTTCTCACTGCACGGCAACATTTTCCGTTCTTCTTCAGGCGATATGCCCTTTCTTTCTAAAGAAGCTCCAAGGAGGAAGGCTGGTGGTGCACGGCAACATTTTCCGTTCTTCTTCAGGCGATATGCCCTTTCTTTCTAAAGAAGCTCCAAGGAGGAAGGCTGGTGGTGGACATGGTGAAAATGACAGGTAAAAAGTGGGACCCTGGCGGTTGGATAGGCTCGCGCGCTCTTCACTGGACGCGTCGTGTCGTTATTTCTCATGTCATAGGCGCTGGGATGATCGCGTTTCCGAGATATGCCGATGGTCTATTGCAAATGTCATAGATTAACGCAGACTAACACACTTTTAACGCACGATCACGCAACCTGAGGCAAAATTCAGCAACAACTGAGAGTGTGTCAGAGGCTGGGTCTTTGCGGGCAAGGTGAGTTGTCCTTTTATTCAACTGGCCTACAAAGTCCCAGTTTTCGGCCCATGTGACCATCTCTGTCAATTGACCGTGTGTGTGTATGTATAATGGAGTTTATATCTAGTATTGATAATAATAAAGTACTGAAATAGAACACAACAGAATAGAATAGTTAAAGATTGTGTTCTATTCTTTGATAATGGGATAATTGATAACATAAAAATGTTTAATTTCCGTTCTTCACACTTAAAAAAAAAACTTTCTTAAACCTTTCATTTTTTTATTGATGATTTAAATGCAGAATTATTTATGTACTTAAAATATTTGATATATTAAAAAAATGTGATGTAGGCTATGTATTCTTAAGTACTACATATTACTACAGCCTAATTAAACTAATATAATTAAATACATATAGGCTGAAAAATCTGAAATTATCTTTAGTCATCATCAGTATTTTACAGTATCTGTTAACTTTAACAAAAAGTTGTGTGTAGTTAAAAGAAAGAAAGAAAGAAAGAAAGAAAGAGAAAAAAGAAAAATGATTGATACAAAAGATTATTTGATACAAAAGATTATTACTGGTTTAGGCTTGTATCAGCCAATTATTTTGTGAACTTGCATAATTTTATTATGAATGTTCAAATTAAATATATGATACACTTTTGTTAAGAATTTAGTTATGAGTAGTTGTTTTTCATTATAAAACGTAGGTGTTGTATTATTTAATATTTTTACTTTTGTTATTTTTATTTATTTATTTATTAAGTAGAACTATTTGTGAATATTGAAGTGGTATGTCAGATATATACTTACAATCAAAACATAGGCTAGAACATATAAAAATACAAACAAATTGGAATTTAGGAATTTAGGCCTTTTTCTTTACTAAAAATAACTTACAAGAACAGCACCTTTTTGTAACACAAAGAGTAAAGTAAAGATTTTTAAATTAATAGACTCGAACACCAAATAAAAGTCTGGTTTTGAGTGCCTGAAAGTAAGATTCTGAGTTCAAGGACAACAAGATATCAAAAAGATGTCAAAAAGCAAAAATATAAACTTCATTAGTTTCTGTGAAATGAAAAGTATGTCAGTTCTCATTAAATATTTTACTGTATAGGGAGTGGCAGAGGCAGGTTAGCTTTGTTAGTGTGTGTATATATTCTGGGATAGTTACCAAGCATGTCTGATACATATTTTTACATAATTTGTCATATTAAGCAGTTCTCAAAGCTGCCTGCCAATAGTTTCCCAAAGGATTTGTATATTGTTCTGGCTCAGTCACACATCTTGACAGTTGCAAAAGCCTGTAATCATTGTAAACTAACCTCTTCCAACGCAGCACATGCAAAGCATGGAATTATAATTAATTGTATATTTAAAAGTTATTTCATTAGATGTTACAAGATGAGTTCCTATTCAGATACCACAAAATATCTAATTTGCTATATTTTAACTTAGCACCTAATATAGGAATTAAAAGCGTGCATTTAAAAATACCCATAATATATTAATAATATACAGGTTAAAACATACATTGGTTTTACCAGTTATTTCACAAAAACTTAATCTTTCAATTTCATATTTACTTATTTTCACATTTACCAATGATTAGCAAGTCGTTTTATCGTTTTAACAGACCGTTTCAGGAGTTTGCATTAAGTTTTGACTTCTGCTTTGACTTCTATTAATACTATAATATTTTATTTGCATAATTTGATTGTAACAAGCAGGGCACACAAAGTTATGTACTGTGAAAAATCTGCCTGAATGATCAAGAGGTGTTGTAATTTGTAAATGACAGTTGCTGTAAACCACTGAAAACCGCTTTGTGTTCAGTTAAAAAACACAGTTTGTCATTTAAAATAGTTTAGCCATTTAATGCATTCTAATAATAAGGGTCTGACATTATGGTTGGCCCTTGTTCAGGGAGAGGAGGGATATTATAGTCCAGACTGACCTTTACTTTGGGCTTTAGTTTGAGTCTTTAGAGCCATGGTATAAACCTTAAACATTTCTTGAACAGCAGGCAGATGCCGGACAAAGAAACTGTGAATAAGTCAGCAAGAAAAGTGAGGGACTTTTAGGGGCAGCTGTGTTATACTGACCCAGTCATAATGCCCCTAAAAATCCTTATTGCTCTTGCAATGCTCAGCTATTAACGGCTCTTAAATCAGTCCTAACATAACAGCTCCCACAGAACCTGTAATATAGTGATTAGCCCCAAAATGTGCTTTCCTTATAGACATCATCCTTTAGAGAAGAGTGTTTACAGAATCTGAGGTGGTTACGTTTCAGGTACTAAACATGTTCTTATGCAGTAAAATCCAGATCCCAGTGCTTGAGATCTGTTTTCGCATTCAAATCAGTAACTCTTATGTCAAATATATCTGCTTCTCTCATTCACTGCGCATTTTGACATCTTGGCATAGGGCCATCCGTTGTCTCCCAGGCAAGCAGTGAGGGGAATTTTTGATGTGAATGGGGGAATACCAATGCCGTTGCTCAGAATGTATGTTAATTTCTATCCGATTGTTCTCCTGCTATTAGTTTCACACAGGCAGAGAGAGAATGTGAATGACAGGTAGAAAGTGGTGGCAGCGTAACGGAAACAGAAATAGTGAAAGAAGTAAGAAAGAAAAGAGACAAGGCAGCATGGTTGGAGCAAGAGAAAGAAAGCTAGCTGATGACTCAGGCTCATACGCTTCATATGTAGGGAGGGAGGGAGGGAGTGGGGGATGAGGAAGGGAGGGAGGGAGAAATGACTCATCAGAGCATGTGGAATCTCATATGGCTATCACAGGATCGAGGTTCTCTCTTCCTCCTCGCTGCCGCCTGCCTGTTCATGACTCTGTCTGAGGTAAGTGAAGACTGCCCACTCTGTCTGTCTCCAACAACAACCTCGTCCACAGGGACAGCAAATTGCAGTGCACAATGATCCTCGAGAGCTGCTGGGGGAAAAAACATAACTTTTGAACATCTTTGGATAAGACCATATTGGATGAGCTTATGTAGAACTGCATATGTTTTTATATACTATCTATGAACTCCAGAGCAAGGCCCCCGAAACACACGTACAGTGTTCCCAAAAATTATTTGGCCATAAGTGAATTTATGACAAAATTACTTGACCTTTTCTTTGAACCATTTTCACTGTTTTTGCAATGTCTATTAAGCAACTGAGTTATTATTGGCTGCATCCAAAATCTTGACTTGTTGCCTCTCTGCCCTATCAGGCAATGACTTTGTAGGCGGTGTTTGTGTGCGAAGGTGCGTAATGAAACTGATTTTGGACAGGCTTCTGATGCAGCATAATGGTCCAATGATCTACAACAAAACTGAGAGAGCTTTGGTGAGAAGTAAGCCAATACTTGATTACCACAATACTAATTACTTGCTACAAATGAAATCAAAAGTTGACAAAGTCAGAAACATACATTTACAAATACCGCTTTTTTACTTTCAGACGCCATTTTATTTATTTTTTTAGCTCAACTGTAACAAATGTGCCCAGGATAGTGAGATATTACAGACAGTGAAGGATGTGACACAATCATTGGATTTGGACAAGCCTTGTTTCCTCCATATGCTGCATGCGGAAAAGTATGGTTGATCTGTATTTTGTAATTAGCCCTACACTAGGTTTGATATTGCGATGATAAAAGGCAAAGACATTTATACATGTTTAAGGGCTACTGTGTGTGTATATATAGATATACAGTATATATACACTACAGTCAAAAGTTTGGAATAAGTCTTTAGTTTTCATATTTTTGAAAGAAATCTCTTATGCTCACCAAGGCTGCATTTATTTGACCGAAAATAGTGAATAAACAGTAAAACTGTTAAATATTATTACAATTTAAAAAGAAATGTTTTCTATTTTAAATTTTTATTTATATGATGTAAAAGCTGAATTTTCAGAAACCATTTCTCCAGTATTCAGTGTCAGATGGTCATTCAGAAACCACATATTACATATAATGCTTGATCACATAAATGCAGTCTTGTTGAGCATAAGAGACTTCCTTCAAAAACATTTTAAAAACTTAGTGATTACTGGTAGTGTATGTTTATAATATGCAGTCATCTGCCAAGCAGAAATGCAAGTAGCCCTGATTAAAAAACGTGTTTCTGTTCTCACATTTGTAAAGGTAAAAGCACACATTCAGTATACAGGTGAATCTCAGGGAGGTTGATGAGTCACCACTGGAATAGGACACACGCTATTAACAAGTGTCAACTCCAAACATCTCCTTGGGTTCCACAGTCATGTGGGTGTGGGATCCAAAAAAAGCTGGTCCACATACAACAACCGAGAGGCAATGTGCAAACAAAATGTAGAAAGGCAGCAGCAACCACCCCCACCCCCACCCCCAACACTCCTTCGTCCCCTCCAGGCTAAACTTACCCGACCTGATTTCTGCAGCCACCTTCCAATATAAAAGTTGGAAAACGCATAGTTGAACAACCTCCAGAGCAAATAAGAGGTCAATGCTAGTTGTATCCTTGGAAAGGGTGGGAAGGTATTGTATATATAAATAATATGTGCATTCTCTTTCATTTTAAACATGATTTAGTGTCATTGGTATTTATGCATCAGTAAACTCTATTTAAACAGCATGAAACAATTTAGTACATTAAGAACTAATATGGACGTGTGCTACCAACAGGTCTTAGCGTTTCTCAATATGACTGAATGAAAGGGAGGAGGAAAGGTTAAATAAACAACTCACTGAAATCCCAGTCTTGGCTCTTGGCTCTTGGCAAATGCAACTTTTTGAATTGGCATGATTATATATTTATGATTCATGTTCAGCATGAGGGTTATTGTATAGAGTATATGCATAAGAAAACTCAAAATGAAAGCTCAAATACTTTCCATCTTTTTTTTTTTGGATTGCTGTTTTCCATTATATGCTGTTAAAGGCTTTAAACCCAACAAAGTCAGGTTCTGTTTTCTTCCTTCTCGAGTGTTTGATGGTACTGAAAATCTGGTAGTAGGTTTTTGGCTGGTTATGCACAGTGATTCGTGGTTAATTTCTGCATGATGAAATCAGGCTTAACCTGTATCCTGAAAAGCTTATTCCACAGGAGAGCAATTCACTTATGTTTAATATCGCTGATATGTGGATGAATTACTTGATGGAGGCAGGGGTTTCATCAGGAAGCTTGCAGTGGTACCCTGGAGAGGCTCCTAATGGAAAGCTGGATCTAGACAATTCATACATTTGAGTTTTTTTAAATGAATTTTAAATTATCATGTAATATTATGTATAATAAATATATAACAAATGAATATAAATGGTTCTGTTTATTGTATAACAACGTGATTTTTCTTTTCTGATTTTCTCTCCTTATTCAGAGAAAAAGTGCCTCAAATTGCATTGCTGGAACTTACCAGGCTACCCATAGAGGAAATACACACACTGAAGCACTCCTCAAATTGCGTAATTAAATATATTTATTCTACTTTTGGATTTTGTGATGTATTTTTGATAAGTAGTTATTTAATAGTTGTCTAACATTGTTTACTGAAAACTGAGACTATGTGACCGTCAGTGTTGGGGAAAGTTACTTTTAAAAGTAATGCATTACAATATTGCGTTACTCCATAAAAAAGTAACTAATTACGTTACTTAGTTACTTTTTATGGAAAGTAATGCGTTACTTTACTAGTTACTTGAAAAAAGTAATCTGATTACGTAACTCGCGTAACTTACTTGTAATGCACTACCCCCAACACTGGTGACCGTTGCCACATGGCATCCCTGTAACACAATAACTGCAGTAATTTATTACCTCAGTGAAGATTTTTTTGCAATCAGTTATATTATAGCATGCATTTAATTAGTTATGGAAATGGAAATGTTTGTACTAATTATACATGATAATTCTATCTTTGCATAAGCCTTGTGTTCTGTAAGAAAAAGAGGCAACATTGAGTCAGCAGTGAGGATGACAGGCTTTTAGAAATATATTGAAAAATAAATTAACATTACTTTTTTAAACTTGAAAAAATTACTTTTAATTCTTAAAATACCATGAATTCAATTAGAGGGAGACATTTATACTTGAAACAGTAGTCTATTTAAGAAATACTATTCCACTGTAGTACCTAATTTCCAAACATTTACCAAAAAAAAAGGCTCTAAAATTTCTGATATTAAAAAAAATATGTCTGCCATAATTAGACATATTGCATACCAAAGAATCTTGCCGATCTGCATACAGTAGGTTTTATATAAAAACCATAATATCTTGATCACATAAGAACACAATTTAAATTTGATATGAAATGAGAGCACTCATGGAAGAACTGATTCGATTTCTGGAGGGACCTGTCTGACATTGTATGTGTTATCTGTGTTCTGTAACCGTTATATTTTGATATGCTGTCTGTGTGCAGAACAGATGGGGCCCCCATCTAAGGTGTGAGTGTTCTGTGCCAGAATAACCAACTTGAGAAGCAAAGAGTGAGTTTACCATGGCAAGCCCATGCAGTGAACCTACAAAAAGTCAACAGTACTGAATTATGGCCACCGCCGCAGAGCTGCGTGAGGTGAACCTCCACTAAACTCTATTGTGATTTCTTGGGGAAACTGATGTAAATGAACCAAAACAAGACAATTTGCAATACAAACTGTTATTCAAACCTGCAGACATTAATTTTTATGCAAAATTAAAGAATTTTGCTATTCGAATATGCAGGTCTTTAGTAGGCCTGTTATGCTTAGTTTTAATTTCACAGTCAAGACCATAAAGGTTTGTTGAGATTTGCGTGGGTGAGGATTGATTGTTCCTGTGAGGTAAGTGGAAGTTTCCTGAAAGCTACGAATCCTTGACCCATAACCCCTTCACCCACTCATTTAGACCAGTCACACGCATATTCACACACAGGCACGCATTAATTTAAAGGAATTTTATTTTTTTTAAATACATGTAATGCCTCTCCCACTCTCTCCTCCAGCACACCCATATGTGCGCCAAAGACTATGACACCCAAAGGAGTAAAGGCTGATTTATACTTCTGCGTCGGTCCTACGCCGTAACTTATGCATAGACGCACACCCATACGCCGTTGCCTGACGTGCACCTCTCCAAAAATCTAACAGCGCGTCAATTCTACGCGGACCGCAAGCGCTGTGATTGGTCTGCAAGAACCCCTCCCTCCATATGTACTTGAGTTTTGTGTGCGTTTATGTGCACTTTAATATATTTTAATGTTACACCTTCTTATATAAAATAAAACAAAGCAAAGAACAAGTGTCTTATGCTACGGCGTAGGTCCGACGCAGAAGTATAAATCAGCCTTAACTTCGAAGAAAAAAAAACAGTAATGAACAAACTAGGGCCTGGTTTGAAGAGTAGTCTATGAACTTAAGCGTTAAACCAGACGGTACAATATATTCTTTGTATACTGTGACGCGAGTTGATCAAAAGGAAGCTATTTTTACATCTTTAACATTTTCTTGTGTGATGGTGGCTGCATAATTTGTTTACTCAGTTGTTAGCATTGCTTTCAACTAGCTAACAATCTCAGTCACTGTGCGTGTGTGTGTGTTCTGCACACATCTTCTGTCCCAAAGAGGGCATGCACATGACATGAAGCCTGAGGCAAAATCTCTTATCAGATAGCAGTGAAACTAAGATGAACGGACTGTTCATTCAGAGTAATATTAACAATATTCAAGTGGTTCTGGCCTTTTATATAATAATGAAATACTCAATTTACACTGTATGTAAATAAAGCTAAAAAGTTAATAAGGGTAAGGTTCATAAAAACAGTATCAATGTCAGATCTATTTATGATGAATGACTGTTCTATGACTAAATTCTGTGAAACCATGTAAAATTTAATTGAATATGTAATGCCACCTGATATCACAAGATCCTTAAATTCTCAGAAATTGCCTCTGGTACTTGACAAACTGCCAAACTAAGCCATTTAAAATCAAGCCTTGCTGTTGAGAATGCAGAGATAACATAAAATGGTGTTTATTGCCTTTTGAACAGTTTAAAATACTTGGGCACACGAATACTTTCTTTGATAGATGGCAGCATAAATCACAGCTTTAAATATCTTCTACATTTTTTCTACATGTTATTGAAGTTTTACTGTAAAATGCTTACTGCCTGTAGAAATTAACCATGTCATAAAAACAATACAAAATGTGCATACTTGATCATGTCAGAAAATAATACAATAATGGTTGCATAAAATTTACTTGAAATCACTGGCCATCATATAAAAGGGAAGTAAAAATTCCCAAAATCATTCTAAACCAGCAATACTGATATTCTAAAAGAACAGAATTTCTTAATAACAACAATGTGCTTGGCCCAGTTGTAGTTTTCTTTTCAGTGTGTGTAAGCATTAGTATAGAGCAAGTAAACAAATCAACTCAAATGAAAACAACTTAAACTCATCCTGATAAATATTACTCCGGTAAAAGTACAAGCACTCTTTGTAATTATCTACTTTATCTGCAATTATGCAATTAGAATTAATAGAAGAATTCATGGTTTATTAGGGTTTGTTTTTTTCATTATGCTCTATATGCCTATTTAGACACAGATCAGAACTTTTATGAGGTTAGAGCTCAGCCTGACAATATTATGAGTTATGACTAATCAGCAAAATAATTAATTAATTAATTGCAGTGACCAGTATTTCAGTGGATGCAGACATTAAATACACATGATTTGCAAATATTTTTAATTAATGAAAAGATTAAATATTAGTTGTTTGGATTTTTTAAATAAAAAAAATGAAAATGAAAATTTCTTAGGATTAGGGTGTGGATTAGTCTATAGTATTTTATAATTGGCTGTAAAAAAGTGTAAGTCTATGGTATGGGTAAGTATAGTAATGTCCTCACAAGTATAGTAATACCTTGTCATGTTTTGTTTGTTTTTTTGCTCTAAAATTAAAAAAAAAAAAAATGTATGAGTTAGGGTTAGGGTAAGTTGATAGAAAATACAGTTTGTACAGTGTAAAAACCATTAAGCCTCTGGAGAGTCCCCATGAAACACGGAAACCCAGTGTGTGTGTGTGTGTACCTGGTATTTATCACGTTATGGGGACCAAATGTCCCCACAAGGATAGTAATACTAGTAAATTTTGACCTTGTGGGGACATTTTTGAGGTCCCCATGAGGAAACAAGCTTATAAATAATACAGAATTAGTTTTTTTTGAGAAAGTAAAAATGCACAAAGTTTTCTGTAAGGAGTAGGGTTGGTGTAGGGCAATAGCACATACAGTTTGTACAGTATAAAAAAACATGGAAACACAACATGTGTGTGTGTGTGTGTGTGTGTGTGAATATAATTATAACACAATAAGTGTGAAGTTTTACAAAACAGTTTAAGTGTATTTCATATTTCCTTTGAGTATGTGTGCATCGGTGCATATTTAACCATTCTAAAAAAATGACAAAAAGCACCATAAAAGTTGATGCACTATATTCCAAATCTTCTGAAGGCATATAATAGCTTTGTGTAATAACAGACTGAAACATCTTGATTCGCTGAAAATATTTCCCTGGGCTAATGCTCTCAAAATTCAGTTTTATTAATTACAAATATGCCATGTGAAAATGCATTGCACCAAGTTTGATGTCAGTGATTCTTAATGCCACTGGCTGTTTTATTTCATGATTGATCGAGTCTCTGCATGTTTGAATATTCAGAAGTGCGAATGAGATTTCAAAGCTATTTGAAAAATTCAGTTTTTCAATGTTTAATGTTATTTATTTCTTTACTTCCAGATAACAAGGAACCAAATGTTTTTCTAGAATGCAGAAAGATAAATATTTTGACTTGGAATGTAATTGAGTGAAGGTAAAAGGTTCCTATCCTCATCCTTCACGTAGTTTCCATCCTCATATTTGATCTAACTGCACACAAAAATAAAGCTGAGCAGGAACTTGGTGGATTTATATGTTAATTCAACCACAAAGGAAGTTATGACCTGGGACATACAAATTCATCTTTACAGCTCCTGTGTTTAATCACACAGTGCAGATTGTACTTGATCAGTGCTGAGTTCTCAGAGCTTAAAAATGTAGTTCCCCAAACAGCAGACAAAGATGATGATGAATTCTAATGACTGTGAAAACGCCATGTGTGTTCGGGGCTCTCAGATTAATCTGTAAAGAATGAAGTTAATATATTTTTAGAAGGTGGAGGGCCACCCGAACTCTGTCTGCTTCAGTAACAGGGAAGTGTAGAAGGCTGCCGGATCCTCTCTGTCAAGGCTGGCAGCGGCAGACGCACATGATTATGTGTATATGTGCTTCACTGAGTACAGTGAGAAAATACAGACAGCACTAACTGTGCTCGCTGTTTATTTGAGAGAACAGCAAAAACATACATATAAAATGTTATTTTAATTTTCTAAAAAATACAGTGATCAAATCTACTACTAATATTCAAACTTGGGTTGTCAGTCAATAAAAAAAACTAATAGAAATAATTACATGATATACTTAATTATTAATACAATTCATTATATATAAACATCTGTTAAGACAAGCCCCCAGTGAAGAGTAAATCACTGAAAAGACATTTAAAAATCAATTGACTTTAGACGTTGGTGGTAATTTAAGTATGAGTTGTTTCTGTGATAGGAAAATATTTTTAATATGCAATTCATGTACAAAATAAATTTTTGAATGTGTTATTTTTATGTATTTTTAATTGTACTAAATTAAAGAGTTAAACTGAGCTCTAATGCAAATATTAATACAATTTGTACATTAAAGGCACATTCTGTCCAACAGTTGCTCGTTGTTCTTCTAATTTTGTTCTTCTTATTTGACATTCATGAAAACATATTTCAGGACTACCAAAATGCTGCCGGAATGCACACGCACACACACACACACACACATCTGAAGCATTCTGAGAGTGATCTCTGGCTTAAAGCAAGAATGAATCAGATTGTTTTGATTCAGATTGGATCCGGTTGTTTTTAGCTGTGTAATGGTATACATAAGCTTTTTTTTCAAGGAAATTAAATGATAAATGGTTTACGTTATAAAAAGAATGAATATGTTTACTCTAATAAATTAGAAGGGAGGGAGCTTGTCAAACAACTACAGTCAGCCCACTCATGACCCTCTTCAGGTTACTGTCTGTGGATTCCTCAGTTTCGCTTAGATACTGTATAACATTTCACACCCATCAGAGGTGCATTCTCAGCACTTCTGTGTGGAGGAGGGATTCCCTGCTGTTTTCTTAACCAAGAAAATGAATGAAGATCATTCAAATTCCTCATAGTTTAAACATGCAACCAAATCCATCCATCCTCAGTGTTTAAAACAAAAAGCCATATTGCAGTCTAATTTTCCCAAACAAGGGACATAACATAATTAATACATTTTTACCAGAATTCACCAATTCTCGTATGGAAAATGTGGTGCAAGTTTATTGTTATGGCCAAAGGGATAATGTCTGATGTACTCTTTATATCATAATGGTTTAATTTTTTATATTAGGCTATTATTATTTACACTAAAAAGTAAAGTAAAGAAACTAAAATTTAGACAAAAAAAAAATGTAGTCGTCAAGTTCCTTCCACATGACATTTTACAACTAACATAGCCTTTGCCATCACATTATCTATAGAGACTTCTTGACTTTGACACACACGGGATATCACATTATCATTTCCTGTTTTTTGTTGGTCACACAATATTCGTTTTGCCTAACAAAAGTGTTTCTATGTTTTTTTCTTCATGACAGTTGTATTACCCTGACATTTTTGCATAACTAAATATTAACATTTATCTTAATTTAGAAATGAAAAACAATCATATCATACAAGAGGTGTGTGCAAGTCATCATATGCATAATTTGTATTTGTATGCATTTTTTTTATAAATTAAGTTATCCAGGTCAAAAGAAAATGAGCATCATATCATTAAACTTTATATGATACATTTTCCAATGTCTGACATGGACACACAATCAGAAAATTATGTTCTGGCTTTAATAAGCTTTTTATGAAACAAGTTAGTACAAGCACAAAATCAAGGCTGCGGGTGTTTGAAGGAGCATTTCCATG